ACAGGGCCTAAAGCGATAATGGACTCCTGAACCCAACATGTGAGGACTGTCTCGGGCTAATCAGGATCTTCACCTCTTTAAACATGAACATTTCTCTGGGCTGGGGACGTTCAAACTCCCTCTTGTTATGAAAAACTGAGTCTCTCCTTCTATTCATATTTTTAAAAAGCTCTATCTTGAGTCTGTTTCAGTAGCAGTGTTATCATACAAAATACAGACCTCCGTTAAGGAAAATTCTAGTTCTTTGACACTGTCTGATGGCACACTTAACCCTCTCCTGGGCTGTTATCCTTTAGCCCTAGGAGAACTAGAAAAAGATAAATTGCAACCCCCTTGCCCAGAAAGACCCCACCAATAGTTTCCGAATCTGAGAACATCTCCAATAAACCAGCGATGCTTCATTAAGCCAACCACAGATCTCCAAAGTGTGTCCAGCAGAAGCTGCTCTCGATTTCCGACATTATGCAAAACACAGAGGAGTAACTTCATTAATTAGTGTGTGGGTGCTGAGAGGGGGGCGGATTACAGCACAATTTTCCACATGGGTAAATCAGACACGAGGGGGGGGATTACAGTGTTCACTCACTGGTTCTAAATGTGCTGCTAGTCAAATGGCTGAAGGATAATTATAACTGCAAGCCCTGCCCGTGCTGCTTGCGTGTCTGAGGAATGCATTCTTCACCACTAATTATCAGAGCAAGTAACTATTACGGATGAAACAGATGTTAGAAGATGAACGTAGGGGAAGCGAGAGGAAGGAGGCAACCTCCGGGGCGGCACGGGGCCACGTCCGCCGGTTCTCACTGTGAAGGAGGGAGACCATCTCCCTGACTGCATTTTCCAGAGCTACTGGGTAATGCCACCATTCCCCAGTGAACATCCTGCTGAGGGGACTTTCTGAAATGTGTCACCTTTCTCCATCTTCTGCAAGCAGGGGAACTGTCACAGGGCCACAATTTCTACAGGAACTCACTACCATTCCTCATTACAAAGTAGTAGCTAGCTGGTCTGACATGAGGGCCACACTCCTTGGGATTTTCTTCATCCAGGCTTCTGTGGGCTGCACAGGCAAAATGGGAAGCCATCACAGGCCGTGCGAGCAAGATCTCAGGTCAAGGTATCCTTAAGGTTTGTTTCAAACATCAAGGGTTTTGGCCACTGGAAGGCCCCGTCCACGGCAATAAAGTTAGTCCCTCCCCATCACCCTCCCCCCAAAAAATAGGCAGAAAGAGGAGGACAGAATGGGAAAGAAAGAAAGAACGGGGTGATGAAGTAGAGGTCAAATCAGAAGCATCAACTGACAAACACCCAGCAGGAGCTGGCATTGCCCTAAATACATCCTGAACCTCTGTATCCTTCCTGCACCCTGAGGCCAAGATGGGCATTGGTCATGGATTAACAGAATCACCACCTCTCTACAGAGTGAGAGAAATGGATAATTCTTACATGAGGAGTTACTTAAGAACATGCCATGGATGTTTAGTATTTATATTCAAATCTTCTATCATAATGTCTGGCTGAATGCTCATGTTGAAAGTATTTACACTTTAACATCCTTCAAGAAAATAGTAATTCCCCATGATTTGAACGGAGTATTCTGCCTACACATTTATGAAGATGCTTTGGGTTGGGCAGGCTTTATGGCACAGCAGGTTAAGCAGACATTAACAGACAACATCCCATGGAAGAGTCTCCTTTACTCTGTTCCCAATCCAGCTTCCTTCTAATGCACCTGCAAAGGAAGACAAAAATGACCGGACTTCCCAGGCCCCTGCCACCAGTGTGCAACACCAGGATGGAGTCCCTCCCCTGGCTCCTGGCCTCAGCCCAGCCCAGACCTACTTGCTGTGAACATTTAAGGCATAAATCAACAAACAGAAGATCTCTCTCTCTCCTTGTCTGTTTCTCTTCTGTGCTGCCTTTCAAATACATCTTTTTTTGAAAAATAAAAACAGAAATTACTTTTGGAAATGCACCTCTCTTACCTTGTAACTAACTCATAGCCCCAACACCAGGCTCCTCTACAGAACCATTCACTCTACATTCACAAAGTTTAAGGTTTAATCAGTCAACAGGACACTGTCTAAATGTTTTTTTTAAAGTATTTTTTCAATTTAAAATGGGACCTTTAAAATGATGCTCACGTTCTCTCACCTGTTGCAGTAAGATACTATTTGAGCCCAAAATAAAGAAGCACCGATGAGGGTGGGACAGAAGATTGTTGGCTGGAACAGAAACTGTCAAGATACCTTGCTTCAATACTCTGGCAGGATCTGTTCTAACAGGTTAATATTTATGCCGTATATCTGGGTCTTTCTTACCCAGAAATTTTCACTTTGGCTATCTACAGTACGGGGGAAGGGGAATTAGATTGAGTACCTGATGTACAAAGCTATTTACTACTGTATTATATGTTATAGAAAATGTCTTGAATTTCCACAAATAAGGAATAACTCAATGAATGACTAAATGAATTAAACGAGTGCCCCATGATGGCTAGGCAATTGTGAATCGGTCAACCTAAGACAATGATGTCAATGGAGCATGTGAAGATGACTGCATGTATTAGAATGGGGAGGATTCACACACACACACACACACACAAGTGGAACTCAAAAGGCTCCTAAAAACCAAATTAAAAGATCATTTTATTTTGGCGCAAAAGGACTTGAACCTGTGTATGAGTACGCATGTGAACCTGCATGTGTCTGTGCAGCTCACCTAGTCATGCAAATCAAAGAATGAGTAGTTTCCATTGGAGCTAGCATGGTGGCATAGTAAGCCAATCCTCCCCCTGCAGCACTGGTTATCCCATACAGATGCCAGTTTGAGTCACAGCTGCTCCACTTCCGATCCGCCTTCCTGCCGAAGGCCTGAGAAGGCAGCAGAGGATGGCTCAGAGACCTGGGAGAAGCTCCTGGCTTTGGATCAGCTCAGCTCTGGTCATTGTGGCCATTTGTGAACCAGATGAAGATTTGTCTCTCCTTCACTCTCTCTCTGGAAATCTGCCTAACAAATAAAAATGAATAAATCCTTTTTTTTTAAAAAAAAAAAAAAAAAGCTTTATAGGTCAAAGATTTGGAAGGTGCGTGAGAGCCAATCAAAAAGTTGTATCTCACACCCAACACCCCTGTCTGTTAGAATGGCGTTGGCGTACAGAAGTATCTGTATTGTGATCAAGAGAGGAATATAATGTATAAATACAATGTATAAATTTAGCTATTCATTAAAAGAAAAAAATGAAGGTTTTCCACCCAAGAACTGTCTGCTCATAACCTAAAGGAAGTGAATGATGACTATCCACATTGATTCTGCTCCTTTTGGCTCACTTTTAGGGACCCCATGGTGCAGATTAAATGTTCTTTGGGGATGCTGACCATGAAGTCACACTCCACTGTCCATAGCATCTGGCCTCTCCAACCAAGTATCTGGCCACCCTCTCTCTGCTTTCCTCCCCTACCACACTCCTCTGCAGAGCAGCGGCCACTCCCTGGCTGTCCTCTCCCTACCTCTCCAGGATTCAGCTCACTGCCATTCCCCTCAACTATGCTGCTCCACCCTTCCAGGAAGGAGTACACCAGAGCCCAAACGACATATCAGAGCAAGGACACGGGTCACTGGGAGGCAGGAGGCCACCAACAGAATACACTTGAGATCAAACTGGGGTCCAGATCCTGAGGAAGTGGAGTTCAGAGTTACAGGCACAAGGGGAAAGTGGGAGGGGAGGTAGGTGCAAAGGCAGCCCTCCCCTCTCGGCCGAAGTTCGTGTGGATTTCCTCCAATGGCACACAAGAACTCGAGCAGTCTGTATTGTATTAGATGACCTGGGGTTGCTGGTTTTCTGAGGAACGGGCAATCTCACTGTTGCATTTACTGACGCAGACAGACTTCCTGTGCCGTGGCCCCTTCTGACCCTTTCAGTGTTGGTAGGATCTGTAGCGATACCACCTTTTTCCTTCAAGACACCAGTGAGCTGGCCTCTCTTTTCTTGGTCATGCTTTGTTTATCTCTGTACCTCTCTAAGCTGCCAAACCTGACAGCTCCCCGTGCCTTCTGGCTCCATACTTCAATGATTTTACTGCCCCTGCACCCCTAGCCACTTTCACAAGCCACTTCTGGTGTCTTTAATGCAATGGCACCCTCTTCACTCTTTAAATTTCCCTTCTCATTGGTAACTGCTCCTTTCCACCTTGTCAAGGTCTCCGATTCTCCACTCTGTAAAAATCTACACACTCCCTCAACCCACAAACCCACAAACCCACATGCCTTTCAAACAAGACAAGCTCCTGCTCTGTCATGACACCAATTGACAACCCACAAATGGGTATATCTACATGGCTTCTCCTCCATTTCCATTCCCTACTTTCTACTGACCATCGGAATCTCTTATTTCTACTCTCAGCTAATGAAACAACCATCACCCTAAAAGACATGACAACCCCGAGTTACCGCTTGTTCTTCACATCTTCCACCCAACTGGTCAGCAAATCTCTCAGCAACAGCTTCTTTTGTGAAACCGGGATCCCTGTGACCTGTCACGACCCGAACCCCAGCCTGTAACAGTTCTGAGTGTCCTATGATCCTCTAAGTCGGTCAGGTGATGCTGCTGACAGGGCTGCAAAACCATATGCCGTGTAAGTAGTAAGCGCTCACTTTGCAAAAATTTTAACTTAATGCTTTTCTGAAGTCATGCAGCACTTGTCAGTACTTGTTTGAGTACTGGCTGATCTACTTCTGATCCAGCTCCCTATTCAGGAACCTGGAGACAGCAGCAGATAGCCCAAGTTCTTGGGCCCTGGTTACACACATGGGAGACATGGACGGAGTTTCTGATTTTGGTCTGATCCAGACCTGTCTGCTGTGGCCACTTAAGGAGTGATCGAGCAGAAAAAAAGATTTTTTTCTCTCTCTCTTTGACTGTTTCTTCCTGTCTCTTTTTTACTCTGCCTTCTCATTTTCCCAGTGAGGCACAAGCAACAGGGGTGCGGCTCCAACTGTACCTTGCATTGCGAACGTGCAGCTGAGGGTAGTGGTTGTGCCTATGACAGATGTGCACCGCAAAGTCCTCCTTGAATGTCAGACACGGGACGTTTCCTACTTGGTCAAAAACGGTGCTGAGAGTTGAGCCTAAATCACAGAGAGAAAGTGATGTGGCCTCATTTGATCAGGACATGTCCCTTGGGGCCTCAGGACAAAATGGCAGCTCCCATTCGAAACCCAAAATGCCACACATCCAGGACCTGGGAGCTATTCTTATTTCCCCTTCCAAAAGGCACCATTCCGAGGGTGGATGCCTATGTGAGCTACTGGGCATGCCAGGCAGTCCGCCTTACCTAGGCTCATGTAGTATGGCACAATGAGAAATATGAAGTGCAGCTCTGGCACAGCCTTAAACACAGTGCTGGCAGAGAGAGAGAGAGAGAGAGAGAAGCACAAGTATTACCAGCAATGTACAGCAAGGTAATTCCATTAGCTGGCACATTATGGACATAAACACTGTCACTGAATTAAAAAAAAATGCATACATAACCCCATACTGCACCTCTGCTCCCTTGCCTGCAGAGGCAAGTACAACTCTGGGGCAATTTCTGTTCTTGTCCATGTTCCCCTGGATTCCCAAGCACCCTCTCCAGTCCATGGAGGTGCTGGGTCCAGGCAGCACACCAACATTGCCCTTTGACCTGGCATCTGGATGGTCTGGTATGACAAGAAAAAGTGATTTGACAGTGGAGGCCACCGCCCCTAAACATATGCAAGGGCTGTCAGAGGTACAAGGCCCAGCCAATCCTATTTCATCATGCCCTGTGTTTTGGGGGTGGTCTCTGCAGCCTGTCGGTTCATAAACTTTAGGAAAACTCTCGGAGGACTACCAAGCTTTGGACACTAGCTCTCTGATACCTCTGTTAACATTTCTTTAAGTGATCACACTACATAGAAACCTCAAGCGACAGCAATGAAAGATGTGAGCTGAACAGAGAGTGCATTTTAAGGATGGGATTATGTTCTTCCAGAAATATTCCTGTATTTAAAGCAAATGCTTTCATACAGCCATGAGCTATGAGCAGATTCAATATCCCAAAAAATTTCATGCTAGCCAAGGGAAATACTTCAGGTGCAGGCATGGCACGGTGGCTTAAGACATTGTTTGTGGGGCCCACACCCCATCAGACTTCCTGGGTTCGAGTTCTGGCTCTGCTTCCAGGTCTAGCCTCCCGCACAGGTGCATGCTGGGAGGCAGCAGATGAGGGTGCCCTTGTGGAAGACCTAGACAGAGTTCTAGGCTTCTGGCTTCAACCTGATCCAGCCCTGACTTCTGTGGGGATTTATGAAGTACACTGGCCGAAGGATATTCAATCTCTCTTTTTCTCTCTCTGATTTTCAAATAAAACGGAAATAAACAAAAAACATCTCGAGAAGAGAACACTTCAAACTACCTGCATGTTCTCCTGTATTGTCCAATGTACTGCAGGACCCTGCCCACTCACCGAATAATCTCTTTGCAACAGTCAATGGAATACTCGTCCACGGCCACAAACAGGTGCATGAAAAGTGTATTCAGAGGCTGCAAAAGCAAAGAGGACATGGATCAGAAGCTGAGCAGCACTCAGGCCAGGTCACAGCAGGGCACTGGGGCAGTCACAGTCTACAGCCACCTAGCCCTTGCAAGGTGACAAGTCCACGTTGAAATGATGAGATACCCTCAGACTCCCAGGCCCTGCCTTCCATCCTGCAGGCTCAAGATTGCTTAGAGAGATGGGGAAGATCATGAATGAGTCCAGGGCCCCTTGCCCTGCCTCATTTCCTCCCCAGTGGGCAGGGGAGTGGAACTGATCATTGATATGAATTCACTAATTCCACAACGATCTTAACTCTGCTTTACCATCTCAACAGGAAACATGGCCTTTATTATTTGCTTGACGTGTCTCCCAAACTCTCTCTCCCAGCAGAAACATTTAATTCATGATTTATTCCTTACCTTTTAGATAAAAATCACTCTTTTTCTTGCAAATATCCCTGGGGTAGATAATACCTTAGCATGGACAAGGGTTGTAGTACAGTGAATTAAGTCACTGTCTGCAATGCCTACAGCCCACATAAGTGGTGGTTCGAGTCCTGGACATCCCAATTCCAATAAAGCTTCCTGCTAGCACGTCTGGGCAAGCAATAGATGATGGTCCGAGAGCTCTGGCTCTGGCCCTGCCACCTGCACGGCAGACCGGAATGGAATTCCAGGTGCTTGCCTTGGTTCACCCAGCCTCTGTTGTTGCAGTCATTTGGGGAGTGAGTGATCTTTCTCTCTCTCTCACCCTCCCTCTCTCCATCCCTCCCTCGCTCCTTCCCTCTCCCCCCTCTCTGTCTCTCCCATTCTCTCTGTAACTCTGCCTTTTAAACAAATATTAAAAAAAAAAAAAAGACTGTTAGGTTAGATACAAAACGGTTCGCATCCTACAGGACTGTGGACTGTAAACTCTGGGGCTGGCTCTTTGACCAGACAGGATCTACAGCTCCAAAGGACAACAGCCTACCAGGCCATGTGCTAATCTCAGGGAACTGTGAAACAGCCCAGGCAGGACAAAGACAGCCGAAGGTGCCAGCACTGGACTGATGCTGAGCTTGAGACAGTTTTTCTAGTGAAGGGATCTGGGGACAAAGGGAGGCAGAGCAGGAGGCGGCACACACTGTCAGGCTGAATCAATGCTGAGCGTTTGCTCAGGTGTGTGTGTTATGTGTGGGCCCACATCAGGGTGAGCCCACCTGGGCACTCACCTGGCAACCCCTCTTTTCTGCATCAGGACTCAGGGGACACACATTTGAATTCTGCCAGCAGGTGAGGATACTGCCCTATATCCCAGTTCCCTGGTCCTCCACAGAAACCAGGGCCACTTCCTGCCCTGGCTGGGGCTGGCCCCAGGCAGGGAAAGCTCAGATTTGGCCCATAGGTGCCCAGGTTAGGCTCCTAGGAACACTTACCCACTGCCCTTTAGTGAACAAGTGGTCACATGCCTGATGACAGTTGGAAAGCTACAGAGCGTGACACAAGCCAGGGTCTCTCAGGGCACTGAATGGCTGGCGAGGGACCACCACATGAGACCTGGGAGCACAGGCCCAACACTTCCCAAACCCCTGCATCTGGCAATCAGTGCTAGATGGTGAGTGGGTGAGCTAGGCGATAACTTTGGTTGCTTGGGCCCCTTGCCTTTCCACCACCTCCTTCCCGTTTAGCTACCACACTGTCAGTCATGTTCTGTGCATGCTCAGGAACAAGAAGACCTCATGGCACATACAGGCCTTCTCTCCTGGCCGAGGCTGCTGTCGCGGAGCGAACCCACCACGCCATTGCTTACCGTGCAGGGGATCTCGCTGTCAAGCTCCCGGAACACGGACACCCAGTCGTCCTGCTTTGCTACATCCCAGTTGGGGTAGTCCAGGAAAGTGGCCTGGGCCATGATCTCCTCCTTGTCATTGTGTAGTGTGATGGCAAGGTTTGCCTTTTCTCTAGGGGAAAATGATGAACATTGTAGGTGTGAGTGAAGATTGCCAAAGGAGAGTGAAGACATGTCATCTTCTCCCTCCTTAGGCTGCCAGAGCCCCAAGGCCACTAAGTGAAGTTCACTGACCTTTCCAAATGGGGTACATGATCCTGCAGCAACTTTTGGGGTACATCTTTTAGGTGCTAGCAACTAAACCTTTATTTAAAATTCTGTCTTGGGGGAGATGGTTAACGCAGTGCCTGGGATGCCTGCATCCGGCGGAGAGCGAGGCTTCACTTCCAATTCCATATTCTAATGTGCACCCTGGGAGGCAGCAGGTGATGGCTCATGTATTTGAGTCCTGGCCATCCTTGTGGGAGACCCAGACAGTCTCCAACAACCACGTGGGAGACTCAGATTAAACTCTGTACTCTTGGTTTTGGCCTGGGCCAACCCTAGCTAGGGCAGGAAGCTGGGGAGAGGACAAGCTCACATGATATCACTCTCTGACTTTCTCTGTCACTTTGCCTTTCAAATAAGCAATCAGAAATGCAAAATAACATGAGGTCTCTTCAAATAAGTGTTATGTTAATGAGACTATCTCCTGACTTTCCCTTAGAGATCACCTAGAAACAAGATTTCTCCTCTCCCCCATTGGCCTGATGTCCCTCTTGGCCGAGGACCGACACGCTCAGGGTTTGAGACCCTGAGTGCCAACACAGGGAAGGGCCCGGGCAACCCAGGAAGAAAGGGTCACAGGCAAAGATCACAGCATCACTCACTCCATCTACACCAGCATTCTGATAAAATTTCTCCAAATCTGGAGCCTTTGTCCCTGAGTCACGTGAAATCTTGAGATCAGATATATCACCCATTCCACCTGCCGAAGTCGGGATGATAAGCGACCATGCTCAAGCTCAGGGAACCCCACAAGTGGATTAAAGCTCAGAAAGGTGAAGCAGACCTGCTCATGCTTATTCTGGGGCTCTCTGCCCAATCCCAGCCAGGGCATCTCAAGGCCACAAGAGTTAGGACTGAAGAAAGAGCTAAGCCTCTGCCTGTGATGCCACCATCCCAGTTCCACGTCCAATCCAGCAGCCTGCTAATGTGCGCTGTGCCCAGAAGCACCTGGCTCCTTTCTCCCACCTGACCCAGTCCCGGCTGCTGCAGCCACTTGGGGAGTGAACCCGTGGATGGAGCATCTCTCCAGCTCTCCTCTTCTCTGTAACGCTTTCAAATAAATGAATCTTAAAAAGAAAGAATAAAGTGCAGACTAAAATGAGAAAATGTAAGGAAATGTAAAAAAAAAAATCATGAAAACTGCATATTGAGAAAAAAAATACTATCACAGATTTCAGGGTTTTTTTTGCACTAAAATGAACAGATTTTAATTTCATTCTCCCAGGCATTTTCTGTAGTACCCTCATGGAAGCAAGAGGAAAAAGCAACTAGAAAAATCGCCTTTAGTGCCCTCTTGCAGCTAACCAATCGTGGTTGCTTTGGTTTCTGTCTACACGTATCTTTTCTTGGCGGTGGCTGCAGGGATGCTCGGTGTGCTTCATATGCATTTAAAAGTAGAACTGCACAATCCCACAGCCCGTGGAGCTCACGTGTGCCCACTGACTGGCATTTATCATGTCACTAGAGGGGCTCACCAGGCGGCCAACGCTCCCACACACCACATTCGTGCACTTCCATTTCTTTTGAATCAGTTTGCTTTTTTGCTTACACAGAATATATTTTTTAAAAATTTTTTTATTTTTATTGGAAACTCAGATATATAGAAAGAGGAGGAGAGACAGAGAGGAAGATCCTCTGTCCGATGGCTCACTCCCCAAGTGACCGCAACAGCCAGAACTGAGCCAATCCAAAGTCAAGAGCCAGGAGCTCTTCCAGGTCTCCCACATGGGTGCAGGATCCCATGGTTTTGGGCCGTCCTCGACTGCTTTCCCAGGCCAATAGCAGGGAGCTGGATGGGAAGCAGGGCTGCCACGATTAGAACCAGTGACCATATGGGATCCTGGCGATTTCAAGGCAAGTACTTTAGCCACTAGGCCATGGCACCGGGCCCCACAAGAATATTTTAATAGGAATTTCATGTGAGTACTATCAATGGCAAACCAGCCTCTCTTGCTATAAACAGAGGACAACCATAAAAACTAATGGCAATTAAAAACCCCAAAAGTGCTGGGGCATGTTATCCAGGAACCTCACCCTGAGTACTCACACTCACATGGGGCAACCTAGCACTCAGCATGTCCATCACAGCACCGACAGACACCACCACAATCCTTCTCACCCCTCATCCATGAAGCAGGGGTGTCCCTGGCCTGCAGGCCTGACCCCAGCTCTAACTATAGTGGAAGGGAGGTGAAGAACGGTCTCCCAGCCTTCTGGAATATCCACACGGGGACCCCTTAGCAGAGCAACATGCTCCCTCAACCTGTCCCTGTTGGATTAACTGAGAACCCTGCCCTGCATGCCACATTTGAAGCATCTTCTTCCAGCTCTTGGTCTTCTGGGCTTGTCTACCCCAGACTGCGGGGTCCAGGCTCAAGCTGACAGCCCCTCCTCTAAGCCAGCAGAGAGACTGTTCATGGCACGAGGCAGCCACATTTGTGGGCTGCGATGACAGTGCTGACAACAGGGACGAAAGGGAGGGCATGAATCAGGGCCATTGAGGCTGCTGTCCCCTTGGGGGAGCAGCAGGCAATGTGTTCCTGGAAGTTCAATTTCATCTGGAAATGCATTTAGCCATGGGAACCTTGGGGTGGTGGTGGGGTTCTCTAGTCCAATTAGCACAGTGCCACACCGAACAGACATTATGGATTAAATAAGCTTTTGTGGGCTGGCCTGGGAAGCCAGCCAGGAAGAACTTTGTCTCAATGGGGGAAATGCACCACAATTTCCAAAAAGCAGACTCTACAAAGTAACTTCTGTGGCCTTATCCTTTTGTGTATGTAATTTCTACTTCTTATTACCTCCTGGCCATTATGGCCTCCACGGGACAGATAAAAACCATCCAGAGAGTGGAAAAAAAAAGAGGCGGGGGGAGAAGGGAAGGGAAAAAGTAGAGGGAGAAGGCATGGTTTTGCAAAACTAGATTTTAAACTGTTCCTTGTAGTCACCTAAATACAAATTCAATTAGCAAGTATCAAGGGGCTTCCAATTGTTCATGAAAAAAATGTGCATTATCTTTTTGTGTGTGTGCATTATTTTAATTCTATTTTCCGCAAAATTTTTGAAGCCCCCTTACACACACACACACACACACACACACACACACACACGTATTTCACACAGAATCAACCAAAGCTTCAAGATGTTATCTAGTCATAGAAACTGGAGCTCAGGCCCAGCACGGTAGCCTAATGGCTAAAGTCCTCACCTTGCATGCGCTGGGATCCCAGCGGTCCTGCTTCCCATCCAGCTCCCTGCTTGTGGCCTGGGGAAGCAGTGGAGGATGGGCCAAAGCCTTGGGACCCTGCACCCATGGAGGAGATGGAGAAGCAGCTCGGGGTTCTGGCTTAGGACCAGCTCAGCCCTAGCAGTTGTGGCCATTTGGAGAGTGAATCAGCAGAGGATGATCTGTCTCTTCTCATAAACACTGCCTTTCAAAGGAAAAATAAACAGACCTTTTAGAAAAACAGGTTTCTGGATTGTTACAAAAATCCTCAAGGAGAACACTGAAGTTTGTTATTGATCGCATTACAATTTTATGATTTCAACTTGACAATGAGGACAATCTTTAATGTTTGTGCTTCTGTATGTGTCACCAGCAGTTTTGCTATTTTAATTCATCAGATATCATCAATTAGTCCATCACAATGCCAAAAATGGAAATCATTTCATTGGTGTGAGCGTGTGTGCAATGTATTCTATTTTTTAAGACTGATTTTTATTGGAAAGACCTAGCTATAGAAAAAAAACAGACAGAGAGAAAGATGATCCATCTGCTGATTCATTCCCCAAATGGCTGCAATGGAAGGAGCTGAGCAGATCTGAAGCCAGGAGCTTCCTCTGGGTCTCACACATGGGTGGGGTTCCCTAAGCTTTGGGCCATCTGCCACTGCTTTCCCAGGTCATAAGCAGAGAGCTGGATGGAAAGTGGAGTCCCTGGGTCATGAACCGGTGCCTATATGGGGTCCCTCTGTTTGCAGTAGAAGGATTAGCCAAATGAGCCATCATGCCAGATAAGGTATAATGCATTTTATACAAGAATACTTCAAAAAAAAAAAGTTAATAGAAAATAAAATTAAATAGGTTTGTAAGATGCATTTTCTTGTTTAATTTTTATTTTGTGCTTTTTTTTTTAATTCTTTATTTTTCATGATACAGTTCCTTAGGCTCAGGAATTTCCCCTTTCACCCTCATCCACCCTCTCCCTCCCTCCTTCCCCCATAAGGTGCATTTTCAATGAACTTCTCAGATGAGATCGGGTGTATTCAGGGTGGTATGGCCGTAGGCTCAATGAACTTTTCAGACACACACATTGTACACCTTCCCTTTGGCTCACAGAAACATCACCCCAAGAGATGTTAAAGTCATCAATGTGCATGAAGCCACAAACTCTACCTGAGGCTGCTACTACTTTAAACATTTAATTGTGGCTTGACTAAACTTAGCTAGCTAATATTTTCCGCAAAAAAAATAACTGGCAACAAATTAAAAAGACCTATTCTGGGGTTGGCAGAAGGTCTGTAAGTTAAAAACAAACAAACAGACAAAAAAGCTATGTATCCTTTCAAGTTCAGAAGAACATTTTGAAAGCAGCAGTAAAGAGCGAATTCAGGTCTTGCCTCTTAGCACTTGTCACTGGGCCTGCCTCTGCTTGGCCATCTGTAAGACGGACACAATAGTGGCTGCGCTGGAGCAGTGTTGGACAGGAATTCTCTCAGTCTGGTGGCTATCGTCCGTGTCTGGTCCCCAGCACCTTCCTCACCAAGTGCTGTATTGGCAATTTGAACCCAAAGCCACAGGAGCTCGGCATGGGCATGCAGGTGCAGGACCCTGAGCTCTGCTGGTGCCAGGGCTTGCTATACAGCCCTTCACATGGAAGTGAGCTACACACACCTGCACTGGAAGGCCTACGAGGACAAGGATGTGGGCTCCCTCCTTAGGGTGGGATAAGACGGCTAAGACTCCCTTGGAACTGGCTGGCAGCTGCATACTTACAGGAGGTAGATGATATTAAACTTCCCAAACAGCTTCTGGGTGAATTTCCTAATGAGGCTTCTGATACAGTGAATATCCTGAGACTCGGTTCTTCGGCAGTGAACCACTTCCACCTTGCCTCTTGGAGAAGTGAGTACTGACATTTTTTCATCCTGTTCCTCAGGGTAGAGAAAACAGTCAGCTGTCAATCCGAGGTGATGAGACAGTTCAGCTACAGTACTCACAAAACTGGACATCAGGGCCCGGCCTGTTGGCCTAGCGGCTAAAGTCCTCACCTTGCACACACCAGGATTCCATATGGGCACTAGCTCTAGTCCCAGTGGTCCCGCTTTCCATCCAGCTCCCTGCTTGTGATCTGGGAAGGCAGTCAAAAATGGCCCAAAGCCTTGGGACCCTGCACTTGCACGGGAGACCCCGAGGAATCTCCTGGCTTTGGATCGGCTCAGCTTCGGCTGTTGTAGTCACTTGGAGAATGAATCAGTGGATGAAAGATCTTCCTCTCTGTCTCTCCTCCTCTCTGTGTATCTGACTTTGCAATAAAAATAAATAAATCTTAAAAAAAAAACCTGGACACCAATTCAATGCCCATATGGCCACAAGGAACCCAACACAGGGCTACTAGGCAACACATTTCCCCTGGGAGCAGCTGGCAACACCTTTGCCAGCAAACCAACCAACGCCATTGTCCGTGGCAGGATAGGAGTTTCTCTGAAATGATCTGTCTAGCAATTTCTCCAACTGTACTCTTTGTTTCCAACAAAGCTGCATCAAAAATATCCCAAGAAAGAGAGCGGGAACATTGAGGAAGGTTACTCATGGATTGAGTGTCTGCTTAGATTTTACGGGCCAGCCTGCCTTGTGGTCAAGGGTTATAGGGCAAATACTGACAGCTGCTGCTCATGTTCCTAACAGTTTCCCCGAAGGAGAGCAGTTCAGAGGCAGATTTTTGATACCAAAAACAAACCAAAAAAGTGGGGATGGTGGTGGTTCTGTAGTTAAGCAAGTGTAGGAAATGCTACTCTGGTAGAAGTCCCAGTGGGTCGTCCCCCCTCCCACCCCCGCCCCGCTTGGGAGGATGTTTGAGAAGCTGCATAATAAAGGGACCTGCTTGCTTTATAGATCCCAGATGATCCAGCAATGTCTGAGCACAGTTTCTGATGACGACGACAGAGCAGAGCCTCGTGTGTTGGAAAGATGCTTCAAGACATGCGAAAGACAGGAACAGCAGACCCCTCTCAACGTCTTGGACAGATCTTCCCTTTTCTCCTCTCTCCTCTCTATCTATACTCTATATCTAATCCTGCAGGCTCCAAAACCAGGAGATCAAATTCTTACCCTCTGCACTGCCTTGAAGAGCAAATACTGGCACACGGGAAGGCTGCCTCGTGGGTCACTGCACTCAATGGTCCTCTCCAGAGTCTGTCACTCCCGTGACCTCGCTCACACAGCAGGAGCCCTTGCTGGTTTTTTCTTTCTTTTACCATCACGCCAATGGAATGGCATGGTGAGCACTGTGTTCTGGCCAAACACACCATGACAGGTGGCTTTCTGCTGTGGCTTGGATGTCACATGGAACCTGACCAGCACAGACCTGAGAGAGCACCAGGCGGAGCTCTCCCTCTGGCAGGTGAGGAAACAAACGTCCACCAGGTGAGGCGACTTGTCTCAGGACACACACTTGGTGGGATACGACCTTGGGCATCTTCTGTTCCAGCCAGGCCAAGCTCCCTTTTAAACTGTGACAAAGCATTATGTAACTTTAACTACTCCTGGGTGTACAGTTTAGCAGAAGTCCCCACTGCTGCTATGCAACCATTCCAGCATCCTGCTTTGATACCTGCGGCCCCAATCTAGGTCCCTTTTTTTTTTTTTCTTTTTTGCCTATATATGAGTCCAGAGAGACTTTTCTGCTTCTTGGGCTCAAGCATGTACCATGCTTAAGAGTACAGGTACCACAGCCCAACAGGAGCAGGAACAGCAGGAATCTCACTCCAGCTCTGGCAGAAGCATCAGCAAGCAGTAACATGCCAAGCCAGTAACATGCAAAGGAGGCAAGCACAACCTTCTTTACAGACAGTCTGACTAACCAAACAATTGTCTTTCCTGTGCCCCCGTCACTGTGAAGTTTGGTACTTTCTCCAGAGACGTGGTGGATTAGTGGACAAAAACATATTCCCGTTGACATGTTATCCTGCCTCTTATCCGAGTAGAAATAAGGCTTTAAGAATGCTTAGTTTCTCATCAAAGTTAGCCCTAAGTACGATACTGGATTTGGCTTTAATGTCAATATTGGGAGGAGACACCTTGCTTGTTAAACATAACATGAGCCTCAGCTGTAGGCAAATACCTAGGGTGCCTTGCACATAGGCAAGTGTTCAATTGCTGAGAGAAACGCAGCCAGTAGTAGGCGGGCATTCTGGATCTGGTTAGTGCCAAATCTGTGTTAAGTATACTAGCATGCCAGCATACCTGCTTATTTTTTATTCTTTCCTTTTTTTCTTCTCCTATAGTTCTTCTTTTTTTATTTTAAATGATGTTTACATAGCCTTTCATGGTGGGAAAAATTCAGGTGTAGAGAGAAGTGGATGTGAACATTGTTTCCAAACTTTCTATTCCTTCTTCCCATTTCTCAGGGGAGGAAGGTTAAGGTACCACCCCAGTACCACAGGATGGGGAACAGCCACCCAATACCAACTCAGGGTTCCAATGTGGCCCATGCTCCGAGGGTTCTGCCCAGGTAGATACAACAGTTCTGAAATGCTGCCAATCTTGCCGATCTATGCATGAGGAATCCCTTCCAAGGTCCATTGGCTGACACAGTCAAGTTTAGAATCCCCATTTGCCCAGATATTTGCTGTCATCATTTGGCTACGGTAGTTGCCCGTATGTCTTGTTCTCCATTCTCTGTGATGGTGCCAGATATAGGGAAGGCAGGGAACATGGGGAAGGCTAGGACATATCACCTTGGCCCCCAGGAAGGGGGTTGCAAATTGCCCAGGGAAGGAATCTGGGGATGGACTGGAGTGAGAGTGGCTGAGGGAATGTTTGACAAGGAAGGAAGGATTTCTGGAGTCTTTCACAGACCAGTCTACTTCTCTTGCAGGTAGGCGAGGGAGCTAAGATGCACTGGTTAAGAAGGGGGAGCCAGAGGGCATGTCTGGGTCACACCAAAGCACCCATGAATGTGGGAGACCTGTTCTGGGTTAAATAGCATCACCCACCACATGCTGGCATTTGCAAAAGCTAGGGCTGGGGGCATGCCTGGCTCAGCTAGGCTGCAGTATATGCCTGTGTTGGAGCAGGTAAACCAGATGCCTTCCTAGTGTTTCCTCCATGCTTAGGATAGGAAATGTGGAGTTAGACCCAGGTCCTAACTCAGCCCTAAACCATGTCATGGCCCCTGGCGCTCAGTGGAGCAAGCCAGGTTGCGTGAGTGTAGAGGCTAGTACAACTATTACGGAAATCAGTAACGAAGTGTGCTTAGAGAACTACAAATAAACCTGTCATATGACCCAGCTATCCCGCTCCTAGAAATATATCCAAAGGAAATGAAAATTGCATACGAGAACTGTTGATCTCAGAACCTCAACCATGAAGAGATTATGTCAGCCAGTGCATTCTTAAGAGGTGGTTGCAGATCTGGCAGAGCTGAGTCAATCCGAAGCCAGCTGGCCAGCTGACTAGTCACTCTACCGGTAAACCTTCATCTTCGCTCCACCCACCCTTCTGCGCCAACATCTTGCCTTGAAAACACCCGGAATTCCGGGCTCCAGAGTTAACCGCGCACAACTCGTGAGGAAATGCCAGCCAAGAGGCACGGTCGTGGGAGCCTACAAGGCCTGGACTGCAAGGCGGCACCGGGAATCGTACTTTTCCCGCCACTCCTCTTCCTCAGCCCTGCAGCGTCCACGAGTGAAGCTCGGTGCCAGTTCTCTCCCCACGGGTTCCGCTGGACGCACCAACCCATCCTGCCTGCGTTATCCCACCCTCAGAAAAGAAGCTGACGAGGCGCCTCTGACGTCCCCCCCGACCCGCTGCCTGTGTGCCCCGCGGCGCCAGCCAGCGACACCTACCTCAACCGCAGCTCTAGGATGCCGCCTCCCAGCTCCCTGCTCCAAGGAGGACGCGCAGCCCGGTTACCACGGAAACGGCGCAGCCTCCTTCGTGGCGCATGCGCGACGTCCCAGGTTGCTCTGGGGCTTCCGGTTCCTGTTCCGGGCCCCTGTTTGTTGTGAAGGCCGCAGCCTGGTGGTGTCCGGCAGGCTTGGGGAACCCGTTTCTGGCGTCTGCTGAGGGGAGCAGGGCTCCCGAGAGCCAAAGGCTGCAGACATGGCGGCGTCCACCGCGGCGGGAAAGCAGCGCATTCCTAAAGTGGCCAAGGTAGGCGTGGGTAGCTGGGGGGGGCCTGTGGGGAGGGCTGGGACCGCTTCGGGGTTCTTAGGGGCACGCCAGGGTGTTTTGAGGGGAGCTGTGTGTCGCCGTGCGCGTTGCAGGGCGAGCCGGTGTCGGAGCTTCGGGGGGCAGGCGTCCGACTGTGGTCGTCCTGGCCTTGGTTCTGCCTGGTGGAGAAGTCGGGGTGTCAGGGAGCTACGCCCTCGACGTGGGCCGTGAGCGGTGCTCAACAACACAGGCTTGAACTAAAAGCACGTGGGCCTTATTGAAGCGAATTAGACCGCGACGTTATCCGAGACGGGTGCCAAGCCTTTTGGGGGTAGTCCTCGTCCCCCTCGTTTGTGCCTGCAGCCCCCCTGGACCCAGACACAGCGACGCTTGTGGCGTGTGTCCCCCACCCCTACAGGTGCTTGTGCTGGGCGCGCCTTCAGGACCAGCTGTGCGTATTTCACATGCTGCTTACGATTCGTACCCTCAACTTGCATGGAGTGCCGTTAGCCCAGTAGCACCTGTGCGCAATTTAAAATTTATCTCTCAACTGCATTAGAAAGTCAGGAAAAACAAGTGGCATTGATTTTTTTTTTAATATAACTTGATTTAACTCAGTATATCAGAAATATTTTATGACTTCAGTATAGAAAATTCAACTTATTGAGATCTGTTATCATTGATACCGAATCATCCAAACCGGTATGATTTTTGCTCTTCAGAGCCCATCTCATTTTGGCACCTTGCCCTATATAGCTCAATG